GGATAAAATATAAAACTTTCTAAATGATAAAAAAGACTGTCCCACTTGAAATTTATACAAGTTTTAATGGGGTCTCGTAGATTATTGATAATATATGCGTTCTAGCAAAATTTGAAGTTATTTTGCCTACTTACCGGATGGTAATAATGTCATTTTTATGTATAACTTGCCAAAATACACCGACGGGCAATTAATGTGTCTGCAGCAACTTTTCTGTATCATAGTTTTGGAAAATGTGACACAGTTAATTCGTATACAAATACATGCAAGTGCATTTACTGGAGTGCAGGTATAAGTTACCCGCAATCCAGAGCATACCCATTGATTTGCTCATTTTTTTCTGGGGTTAACTTATTGTGACGGCAGAGAAAGGGATAGCGATAGATATATCATATTCATGTGCTCGTTCAATGGCTTTCGGTGTTTCATATGTGACAACAGGGAACGTGTTTTTATTTTTGCCTATGATACAAAAGAGAAAGAACAAGAAAACTATCGGCAGTCTGATTTATACTCGAAGGCTACGTTCCTCTTGTACAAATCAGATAGTCTTGTGTTTCAATGCTTTTTCTATTACTTAAATAATGAAAATTATTGGTGAAAATGGCATTTGTAACAGCATTATTAAGCATTTGCCAAGAGCATTTTTAAATAACGTATTTCTGTTCAACAGCAGAACAAATAACATGGGTGTGACCTTCATTTTGTATTATAACTTTGATGATTTACTTTTACCTCATTATCTTCCGAATAACTATAAAAAAGAGAATGGAATAAACGACATAAACGACTTTGTTAAGATCCTTTTGTCCGGTGCACGGTTTCTGAAACTGTTTGGTGGTAACAATATTAGCCTTATTATAATGTTAAGTACGCATTACATTAAAAAAATTGCAAAAGGGAAGTTGTATTCAGTTTAAAAAAAATGTTTAAAAAGATAATATCCAACCTTAGTCAACTCATTTGATTGTGAAAAGTCTCATTTTACTAACCATTTTCTTTAAAAAAAAGATCAATATGAAATTAGTTCTGTTATTGAATCTTAATGCAACGACGTACAAAATAGGAAGTACATTAGATTTGTTGTTCTTTTGGATTGGTTTTCTCAGCAGCGTTGCATCGTTCATATGGCAACTTTTATATTGCTTGAGGAAGACCAATGGTGCCCGTTCGTGCCTAAAAAACGTCAGTAGAAACACTGACGTTTCATAAGCTATCTCGATAGCTTCATCACGTAACATCATCCAAAGCCTCGGACGATATTAAACACACAACAGTACATGAGCTTATGGTTTGAAGTTGACGGCTTTAACCACTCGGCCACGGACATATTGTAGTTATATAAATTTCATTTTTATTACATATATGCCCTGCTTATATATATAACAAGATATGTTTGTAAAACATGTATGCCCCTATCAGCAGCCATTTAGTCATGTGATAAGGTTATTATGCATGACTTCTGACCCAGTGATCAAACAATTAATAAGGGTTATCAAGTATCTACTGGTCATGACCTTAACCTTTGACCCCTTGACCCAAAACTCAATAGGGGTCATCTGCTGGTCACGACCAATCATCATACAAAGTTTGAAGTTCCTAGGCCTAAGCGTTTTTAGTTAATTGATCGGAAACCGTTTTTACCTACAAGGTCAATGTGACCTTGACCTTTGACCCCAAAATCAATAGGTCATCTGCTGGTCATGACCAATCACCATACCAAGTTTGAAGTTCCTAGGCCTAAAGGTTCTTTATTTATTGATCGGAAACCGTTTTAACATACAAGGTCAATGTGACCTTGACCTTTGACCCCAAAATCAATAGGGGTCATCTGCTGGTCATGACCAATCACCATGCCAAGTTTGAAGTTCCTAGGCCGAAGCGTTCTTTAGTTATTGATCAGAAACCGTTTTTACTTACAATGTCAATGTGACCTTGACCTTTGACCCCTTGATCCCAAAATAAATAGGGGTAATCTGCTGGTCATGACAAATCACCATACCAAGTTTGAAGTTCCTAGGCCTAAGTGTTCTTTAGTTATTGATCAGAAACCGTTTTTACTTACAAGGTCAATGTGACCTTCACCTTTGATCCCTTGACCCAAAACTCAATAGGGGTCATCTGCTGGTCACGACCAATCATCATACAAAGTTTGAAGTTCCTAGGCCTAAGGGTTCTTTAGTTATTGATCGGAAACCGTTTTAACATACAAGGTCAATGTGACCTTGACCTTTGACCCCAAAATCAATAGGGGTCATCTGCTGGTCATGACCAATCACCATGCCAAGTTTGAAGTTCCTAGGCCGAAGCGTTCTTTAGTTATTGATCAGAAACCGTTTTTACTTACAATGTCAATGTGACCTTGACCTTTGACCCCTTGATCCCAAAATCAATAGGGGTAATCTGCTGGTCATGACAAATCACCATACCAAGTTTGAAGTTCCTAGGCCTAAGCGTTCTTTAGTTATTGATCAGAAACCGTTTTTACTTACAAGGTCAATGTGACCTTGACCTTTGACCCCTTGACCCTAAACTCAATAGGGGTCATCTGCTGGTCACGACCAATCATCATACAAAGTTTGAAGTTCCTAGGCCTAAGCGTTCTTTAGTTATTGATCAGAAACCGTTTTTACTTACAAGGTCAATGTGACCTTGACCTTTGACCCCTTAACCACAAAATCAATAGGGGTCATCTGCTGGATATAACCAATCACCATACCAAGTTTGAAGTTCCTAGGCCTATAGGTTCTTTTGTTATAGATCAGAAACCGTTTTTACCCAAGAGGTCAATGTGACCTTGACCTTTGACCCCTTGACCCCAAAATCAATAGGTCATCTGCTGGTCATGACCAATCACCATACCAAGTTTGAAGTTCCTAGGCCTAAGGGTTCTTTAGTTATTGATCGGAAACCGTTTTTACCTACAAGGTCAATGTGACCTTGACCTTTGACCCCTTAACCCCAAAATCAATAGGGTCATCTCCTGGTCATAACCAATCACCATACCAAGTTTGAAGTTCCTAGGCCTTAGGGTTCTTTTGTTATTGATCGGAAACCGTTTTTACCCAAGAGGTCAATGTTGACCTTGACCTTTGACCCCTTGACCCCAAAATCAATAGGGGTCATCTACTGATCATGACCAATCACCGTACCAAGTTTGAAGTTCCTAGGCCTTAAAGTTCTTTAGTTATTGATCGGAAACCGTTTTTGCTTACAAGGTCAATGTGACCTTGACCTTTGACCCCTTAACCCCAAAATCAATAGGGGTCATCTACTGATCTTGACCAATCACCATACCAAGTTTGAAGTTCCTAGGCCTTAAGGTTCTTTAGTTATTGATCGGAAAAACCGTTTTTGCTTATAAGGTCAATGTGACCTTGACCTTTGACCCCTTGACCCCAAAATCCAATAGGGGGTCATCTACTGGTCATGACCAATTACCACACCAAGTTTGAAGTTCCTAGGCCTAAGGGTTCTTTAGTTATCACTCGGAAACCATTTGGTCTACGGACCGACGGACCGACGGACCGACAAGTGCAAAGCAATATACCCCCTTTTCTTCGAAATGGGGGCATAATAAAATATATATTTTCCAGATTGTTACATTATTATAGGCCGTTTCAGTTACTTATTAAACATAACTGCGCAATAGATTTAAAATACGCTCGTATCATGTTTTCTCATTTTTCATTCAGATGAATATACGAAATCTAATGTCCGATTGTAAAATTCTATAACACGTGCATAGTTAAGTTATTGATATAATATTTTACATTTTGTATTAATCATTTTAACTTAAAATGTAATGAAATTTATTTTATATCCATCAGGAGGTCGTGATTTTTAGTTTCAGCTTAATGGAAAATAAACAGTTAAAATTCATCGCATATTTTTTTCCGGACTGACCAGGTCAATTAAATGCTAAATGGTCCTCAACAATTGTACACTTCTTCGCTGATCTATAATATACTGCGTATTATTTTACCCTTTATGACTGAGGGGTTGTTTCTAAGGGTTGAGGCATCAGAATTGCAACCACAGTTTATCTCTGCTTGATCGTAAGAGGCGACAAAATACGTTCGAATTATTAGAGTCTATGTATCTGTTAGCTCTAGCAGGTGTGGTAGTTTTGACCCATGGTGGTGCTTTAAAATTGTAACAACCAAGGTAAACCAAAGTCACCTTTCCTGTTTCGGCAATATTTGACCTAAATTGTGTTAGTTCGCCGTAAATCAAATTAAAACAAAATGCGTACTGTTGCTGAGATCTGAAAACGTCCAGTTTTCAGCTTGAATAATGTGCGTTTCATCAATTTTGCGCTGTTATACCCCAATTAGCGGTCTGATAGAAAATTTGGTAGCGCCCGCTCACTAGAACATTTTTGTTGGACTACTTATGTCATCAAAAAGTACATAATTTGTAGGCCCAGCTGACATTTTCGACATAAAAAAAGATACATTTATATTAAATATGGTATGATATAGTAAGTTTGTTTATTTACACAGACACTTAAAATGTTTCTTGGCATTGCTCAAGTAAAAATTTGGCGCCGTCTTTCGGTGAAATCTTTACAAAGCATAATTAGTGGAAAAGTAATAAGCACTTTATTCTCGGTAACCCAGGCTATTTACCGTACCTGTATACCAGTATTAAATGTAGTACATGTATATACAGACTGTGTGTACCGTGGGTTCCGACGATGGTAGCACATGTATAGCCACTATAATTGAAAACATATTCAATTTGATAATTCCTTAACATAATGAATTCTCTAGAAGCATATGTTGAAAAGTTAATATATAAAACAAGCCTTCTTTGATACAAAATGTTATCTAGAACCAGTATACTCGCAAATGTCTACACATGATGCCATTTATCCTATACTTAATTCAATACTTACGCCGATATAAGAAAAAGCACAACAAAAAGAAAAGAACCATGTTTGATACTTGATGAAGATACATCGTCTGTGTCCATAAAACGTCTCTCAATAGTCAGTCATTTTAAACTGAAAGTCGTTCACCTTAGCTGTAGGAAGGAGCTCGCCTTTGATGCGATTCTTTTCTAGCCAAAGGTATCTATCATCTTGGTCACGTTCCTTTACAGATAAAGCTTTATCCGGAAGGAGCACGTTACCATATGTCCCTATAAAGTCATCAATTCTATCGTTCGTGTAGTTAATCGTCTCCGGACCAGAATATTGAGTGTTGTTCACAAAGAACATGCTGTTTCAAAATCCAGCCACGGCGTTTGTCCGAGTAGAATGTCCGACACATATGATAATATAGTTCTTAAAGCATAGGTCGGAGATGCAACTGTTCCCGGACCATCAACATTAGCAAACACTCCAATCTGCTCATCCGGATACAGCCAGATTAAAGAAACGTATGAAAACAGTCCACCACTGTGCCAGATCCTTCGAAAATCTAAAGAAAAAAATTTTGGTATACATATTTCTTACATGAAAAACAAATAATGCATTTTAGTGTATTCCTGGCAGCGTTACATTGATTGTGAACCGATGCATTCTTGAACTGTAATTAATTAAAGCAATTTAAGTAATTAATGAACCAAACCTTTTATTCATTTAAACATATCAAGTTTTCTTTGGTGCGAATGTTTCCAAACCAAAAATCTTTCTAATCAATATTTACTTTTGTTGTTCGCCTACTTTAACCTCAATAGGCAGAGCAAAAGTTTTGTATTCCAGTTGTTGCTGGTTCGATTCTCGATCTAGGCGCACTTTCTACGTATCGCTTGATCTCGGACATTGATTCTAATTGTCTAATAATTGTCTTATTGAGATATTACGTGAGATTAGCTGTAGGACACGTGTGGAGAATATAGAAATTACTGGTTAGCAATCCAGGTTAGGTGGACTAACAGCCGAGATATGTATGGCTTAAATGTTTTTAAAACCGGCTTATAAGCAAGATGAACAAACAACTTACCTCTGTATGAAGATATAAACCAACCGTACCCGTAGGCTTTCGTGAGATCATCAATTGGATACGTAGGTTTTGCTTGGCTTACGTAAGCACCATCGTAACGAAACATATTGTGTTCCTAGTAAAAGAGAAAGGGTCAAGATATAATCGTGAAAAACAAAACAACAGTAATCCGTTCGTATATTTTGTTCAGATATAAGTAGACATTTTAATAGTCACGTGTGAATACATGAAACCTAGTGAATATTTGAAATCTTTCGCTCTTCTTTTAACAATCATTATTATATAATCAAAATATAGCTGCAATCACATTGGTCCAAACAGTAGTCACCAGAACTTATTATAAAACCATATTCACTGGGTGAAGTATCATATTCACTGGCTGAATTGGATTTTTCCAGTCTCAAAATAGATTGAGACTCATATTCAATAACCATACACCGTAGACTGTTAATAAAGCGTGTTAATTAAATATAATTGCTGCGTTTTGTTCTTTATGGCATATTTCTCGATTAGAATAAGATTACTTTACTATAATTATAAAGGCTACACCGCAATGATGAGTATAAACTTAAATTACTTTTGGATGCGTAGCCTTCGCGTAGTCGTTGCACGCCTTTCACGTGCGTCTTTTTCCCGCGCTTCAACAAGGCAAAATTTGTACATGTATATAAGGTTGTAGTGTTTTTTAAATTCTTAGCCTATCCATATAATTAAACAATTATTGACTAGTGAGCCATTGAATATGATGTGATATTCACCGGCAGAACGTCATATTGACCCCGGCTATCGCCTCGGTCATTATGTCATCTGCCGTTGAATATCACATCATATTCAATAGCTCACTAGTCAATAATTGTATAATAATACACAGATTTTGAAAAATACATGTATAAAGAAACGAAAAGAAAAGAGAAAATAATAGAAAAGAAAAGATGCAATACAGCAACGACAGTAACAACAGTATTTATAGTGTCTCCAATAATTGTATCAATTTATTTAAAAATTAATCACCTGGAATGCCTCCTGTAAAAGATGATTTGCAGTCAACTGATGACCATCGTCGGTTGTACCATTTCTTAGGTTAAATCTCATAGTTAGGTATACTCATAATTAAATGATTTAGTTTGACAAACATTTGGCCAATTAACTCAACTTTACTCGTTTATTCGACTTTTATTTTGAGAAAACACTAAAAATATCATGCCTCCGCGCCTTATATTTTTTCGACTTGCGTAAATCTTCCCACAAAAGATCGCGTAAGAGGTGACCCTTTGAAGCTTCCGTAGGCAAGTGCCAAAGATTTTATAACTACAATCTTTCCAATAGGCAAGATAATTCTTTTGGACCAATTTGCGAAAAGTTTCTTTAATTCTTGAATTTTTGCATCATAATTAAGACTTATTATTTGGCTTAAATCTGTGGAAAACTTAATACCTAACAAAGTAAATGTTCTATTGTTCCAATCCAGATTGTACTCTGGGCAGATCACAGAATTGTTATTTTTAAGAGAACCAAACCAAACCACTTTAGTTTTTTTTCTGTATTGATAACAAGGCCTGACATATAAGCATAGAATTTTAAAATTTTCGATGTGTTTTTTTAAGGATTTTTCTGTGCCATCTAGAACCAAGCTAGTATCATCTGCATATTGGGACACTTTATATTCTTTGCCACGAATTTTGATACCTTTCATATCATAATTACTTTTGATCAAAATTGAAAGAATCACAGCACATATAATGAACAGGAACGGTGACAGGGCATCCCCTTGACGACAGCCTCTCTGAAGAGAGAACCAGTCTGACATATGCCCATTTACTATAACACAAGACTCAACATTTGTATAGAACAGCTTAACCCATGTTCTAATCAAAGGGCCAAAATTAAAGAACTCTAAAACTTTAAACATAAAATCCCATGACACAGAATCGAAAGCAGCCGCAAAATCAATGAGAAGTAACAATCCTGGAATATTATTTTTCTCAGTATAAAATAACAAATCATACAGCATCCTAGTATTAGATGCCATTCGTTTTCCCGGTATAAATCCTGTTTGGCTATCATTTATAATATATGTCAAATTATTCTTTATACGAAAGGCTATTGAAGCAGAAGCAATTTTATAAGCCACATTCAATAATGAAATTGGCCTCCAATTTTTTAAGTATAATTTGTCTTTATTGCCTTTTGGTATACAAGTTATAACTATAATACTTTTGGGCATACCAATAAGAAATGATATTCTGTTTCTACCAAATTTAATGGACAATATAATTTAAGACAGATCCTACTAATGTATCAAATAGTTTACATTTATCTTGAATCTTTAAATCTAGTTGGTTAAAAACTGTAAAAACATTATGCAAAGAAAATGATGAATATTGGCCAAGATGCTTTTGTGTCCTATTCCAGTGTCCATTTTAAAGAAAAAAATGCCCAAATATTTAAAGATTTTTACGACTTCTAACGTTTGACCGTTGAAAATGAAGATAAACGTTGAATGTCTACCTTGTTCAAATATCATTATTTTAGTTTTAGTTGTGTTAACTTTCAGATTCCATGTTTGGCAGTATGAATTCAAATCATTTAACATTGACTGTAATGCATCGGGTGTATTGGCAAAAAGAGCTGTATCATCAGCAAAAAGTAACATAAATAACTTTATGTCATGTACGGTGAAAATTCCATCAATATTACAATTTATGTTTTGAATTATATCATTTACGAAAAATAAATATAAAAGACTTGAATTGGGGTCACCTTGTTTTGCGCCTTTTTTTGAGATAAAGTTTGCTGATATCTCTTTATTATACCTTACCGTTGAGTTTACGCTGCTGTACATGCTTTCGATTGCTTTTACAAATTTTGAGCTAACATTTTCTTTAATAAGTTTTTGAAAGATAAACGAACGTTTTAATTTATCAAAGCATTTTTCAAAGTCTTCAAAGGCTATGTGTATAATTTATTCTTATTGGACAAACTTTTTACTATTATTGAATGAAGACAGTATAAATATATACTTTTGAATATACTTGAACTATTTTAGTTCATCTATGCAGCTTTAAAGTTGCACTTGGTGAGTAACATGCATTGTAGTGTAACCGTTTGGAAAAGTTTATAGATTCATAATGTTCATCGTGCATAAAATGACCGTGTTATTACATGTATACATCTATAAAATTAAGTAGCGTTGCCTTTGTCCTTTCACAAATAGTTAAAGGTTATGCAAAAAGTAACTTATGTCGCAATCTTAATATACGTATTTTAATATGATTTAACTCATTACAGGATTGGAGCAGTGCCTTCAATATAAAACACAAAAGAAAACGTATGTCTGCGCATGTGTTTGTAGATGTACATTGAAGTGAGCAACAATGCGAGCTGATTTCATAAAAGAATGTCATTCTCTATGTTATTTAGGTGCGGTGAGATATAATAGTAGTTAAAAGCACCTCATAGCATCACAGTCAGACAGACCGTGGCCCAAGACATTGTTCTGGTAAACTGACCGATCACTATTATGTTTGACAGCGAAATTGCATTGATTTGATATATTAATTGTTCTAAATAAAAGCAATCGAAACATCATGACATGTACATTAAACTCACCTTAAAGTTATACCTGTATATGACTCTAATAACAAAATAATTTTATTGTATGCGTAACCTCTCTGGAAATGGTCCTTTATAAAATCGTCCATTTTTTAACTATGCCGGAAGACGAAAACACGAAACCTCGAAACCACGAAAACGCGAAACATCGAAAACACGAGATCGCGAGAATACGAGAACAAAAACGCGATAATCCTCGACTTCAAGTCGATAATCCTCGACTTCAAGTCGATAATCTTCGACTTTAAATCGATAATCTTCGACTTTAAGTCGAAATCCTCGACTTAAATTATCGTGTTTATGCATCTTCGTCCTCGTATTTTCACGGTCTCGTGTTTTTCGAGTTTTCGTGATTTCGTGTTTTGCTTTCATCCTCGTACTTTCGCGTTTTCGTCCTCGTATTTTCGTGTTCTCGTGTTTTCGCGTTCCAGGTATACTTTATTTTTAGGCGATAACTCTAACGGAACACCGTATTATTGGGTTGGGTAAAACTTTACATTTGTTAACTGAATACTTATAATGTGCTGTAAATGTGTTGTACACCCATATACAACCATATACATAAATAGTTTAGACAGAAAAAAATGTATGTTTAAGAAGAGATCTGTGTTTTTAGGAATCAAAATCTGGACATTGTTGAAAAATCATCTCAATATTCATGAGTCGGAAAATCTTACCTGATGGAACATCGCCTGAAATCTAAAACTCACATACTGTCACTTTATAGTGTTTTTTTCCTATGAATGTTTGAGTATAGCCATTAAGTTTAATCATCTTGTTCTTTATTATTTGTTTGTAAAGAATCTTATTATTATTTCTTTTTCATATAAGAAGTAATTCCGGAATTGGAAATTGATGCAAGAAATTGAACACAAATAATGAACAACACTTTATATTTTGATGAATTTTACATTTTGTTTGCAACAAATCGTTGTCTGGTGCAATTTGTTTGACTATGTAATTTTCCTGTTTCTTATCTTCATTTTTTGTAAAAATGAAAATTGATGTTTTTGTAAGGTTACCATATCAATGTTTTTTATGTTTTTTTCTTTGTTTTCTTGTACTTTTGGGTTCTTGTTTTAAATACTGTACTTGTATATGTATTTAATTTACTTGAATAAAACATCTTCTTCTCTCCCTTTTCATGTATAGTTTTTGTTTGCAAAAAAAAAACTGTATTTATGTATTTGCGCAGAATGGACAACGTATCAGTTTCACTGCGTCATTAAAAATGATAATTTCTGTTTGAGCTGGACTCATTCTGAAAATAGATTTATGTAATGTCTAAAAGACGCAACAGATATACAGCCATCATATGTGCCAAATATATTAATGATTAAATCGACGAAATGCTATAATTGCATCCCATAATTGCCGAAATTGACATTTCTTTACAAAGTAACATTCAACACAAATAACATTTTACTCTGTGTGTGTATGCGTGTGTGTGTGTGTGTATTGGTGTATGTGCATGCGTGTGTTTGAAATATTGTTCGATA